TGTTTTTTACCTTTATTTTCTCCTCTTTCGTTTGGTTTTGCCAAGGGGCACTGGCTGCAGCAGCCTCTGTGTCCGTCGTTTTTATTTATATATTATATACAATAATAATATGTGCTGCAGAGCGTGTTTTTATTATTGTTGTTTTTATTATTATTATTATTATTATTATTATAATGCCATGCTGCAGCGGGTGCAGTAGTATATTACAATAATATTATGTATTATATTAATATATATATATAAATGTATGCATGGCAAGCGGGGGACATTTGAAAATGCCCATTTTTTTTCTTCAGTTTTTTTATTCGTTCGTGATCAACAATTGACAGCGTCGGAGAACGGCGGCGTCCGACTTATTCTATATTATACATATATTATATGTATACATAGTATATACTATTCCCGTCGTCGTTATAGTAATAATAATAATAATAATAATAATAGATCCCAGCAATATAATATAATATAGAACCCGTAGAAATCGATTAAATTCGTGTTCGTGTAATTTATCGAAATGCACGTATAGTTTTTTTTCATCAATTTTAATTTACCGCCACTATAATATTATTATTATAACCGTGCGCCACTCGTGATGTTCTGTGCATCCCGTATATATGAAAATGGCACACGATGCATTTATGTGTGTGTATGTGTGTGCGTGCGTGCGTGTGTATTAATAATGAATAAAAAAACAACAAAAACCGGAGGAGCGAGCGCACACCCATACACACACATGCACACTCACAAATACATAGGTACGTGAACAGCGCAACTAATTAAAGAGTCCGCTCGCGCATATTATATTATATAGATAGATCCGATCCACGTCGCTCGGCGGCCGTCTCTCTCGCGCCCGCGCGGACCCTGTGTGATCCAATTTATTTTTATGGCCCCGGTGCGCGCAAGTTTAAACGTAATAATGTACCTAATGAAAAAATAATAATAATAATAAAAATAAAAAATGAAATCGGGCTCGGCCAGTCGCTCAGTCCGATTAAATTATCAGCAATTTAGTATAAATACATTTTTTCGTTTATTTTTTATTATTATTATTATTTCATTTTTTCTCTCTATATACTTATATATTTATATATATATATTACACTATACTACTACTATACTACTAATACAACTACTCATTTCTATATATATATATATATATACTGCCGCGACGACATACCGGCGGCAGAGCACACATGATGCAATTTGAGTTTCAAGCACGTTTTCCGTTCGCGCGTGGTCCATAATCGTGATTCTGTGAGCCGTGTGATACTATACCTACATAATAATATAATATGGCCAGGGAATTTGTTAATTTTTTCCCAAACAACTCGCGCACACCTAGTACATTATTGTACTATATTATATACAGACTCTGGCCCGACGACGATATCTTCTGGTTTTTTATGCCCCCTCCCCCACCCCCGGCTGAGGCGTTTAACCGCTCTGTTCTTTCCGCGTGTCAGACTTGTCGTTTTCGACACCAACGTGTACACAGTACGCTCTGCTGCGCGAGTGGTGACAGATTTTTCGAGTGCGCCTTCCCCGCCTTCAGCTGCCGCCGCCGCCACCACGCACGCCTTTATATTATTTCAGAGCCGACCGGGCCCCTCGTGAGCTGACGCGCGCGCGCGCACTCGATACGTCCCGCGGCGAAGGACAATGATCAGGTGTTGTGTTCGCCCAACAGGCGGTCGTCGTCGTGTAGTCGTCGCAGTTCTCGCGTTTTCTGCGTATTTTCATTATTCCACACCACACGCCGCACCACGCTATTATTTTCGGTCGGGTCCCTCGAGTTTTCTCTCGTATATTGTTGTGTTCATTATACTGTTTTTTTTTCCACGTTCATTTGTCCGGGTTACGATAGAGCTTGTTGTGCGGCGCGAGCGTGCGTGTTGCACGTTATAAAGTGTATTATACATCTGGTGTGGTGGTGGTGGTGGATGTAGTGTATACGCCGAAAGGAGCCGAAAGCGACCCTCAAAGACCCGCGGCAACGGGACCTATGTGTACCGCGGTATATTAATCCTTTCCGACGATCGCAGGACACCGCCACTACTTCTATTCAAACACCTGCCTAACAATTTGTTAACACACATATACATATATGGATATTATATGTGTACGTTACACGTACGCCGCCGTCACACAAGTATAAAATATCACTGCACATATGTACAACTGTGGGGTCTCTCGCGTGCGAGAAAGCCCACCCCCAATCTTTCAGTTCCGAGTGTATACGCATATTATGATAAGGAAATATTATTTTTATATAGTTTATAAACCAGAATTCTCGCATCCTGCATATAACAGTGTTGGTCGGTAACGTATGTGTAGAGTAGGAATAAATTGGTATTTGATTTTAGAAGTGGGATTTATTTGTTCTCGTTTACTATTTCGGAACACATCGATCATCGCCAACAGGGGGGTTTTTATATTATATATAATATATATGATGTAAAAATGTAAAATACTCTAGGTATATTGATTTTAACATAATGGATCCCGTTGGCATTTTTTGGACGAATGTTACACAACGTGTTATAATATTGACTCTATCGAACTTTACTCGAGACGGGAACGACGTATTTGTGAACATTTGTAATATCTGTAAATATTTTAACAATCACCTAAAACGCATTTTTTACCTTTGTAGGTAAGTATATATAAACGCTCTACCCTGCTGCACTGGTCACACGAATATAAATAGATAATGATATCGTCGGGGGAACCCATATTTGAGAGTGTATACAGCGTTATTCGTGTATTATTGGTTCGCGGCGTAAAATATTGCTCGGCGAAATATTCGGTATGGTGGTCACGTATAAGAGGTGTACCGATGGAGTTAAAACATCCGTTTCGTATATTATTACTATTACTATTATTATTATAAGTATTGTTTTCTCACAATGATCGTGTGAACAGAGGCGTACGGTAACTAGAAAAAAAACGTTTTGTCGTTTCGAATATATAATAATGTCCATATATATATATATATATATAATGACGTGAGTGTGTGTACGACGGGCGGACACTATTTAAATATTATTATTCAACTCAATCGATATTTTACCGCGTCTTGCGCGCCCTCGTGCGTCTGCAGCGTTACATATCAACAGGTTTTATAATCGCGTCGATAACGATCTGAAACATCGCTCGCAGTTTACGTTGATCGATTATCGATACGATATTATAAACACTAGGCAACTATAGTAGTATAGTCTATAACACTTATACGATATATATTTATATGTATATCGTGGTATAGTACCTACATACCATCTATATCAATTTTTATTTATATATTATTATTTTTTTTACGAAATAAAAAAACTTTTTTCCGACAATTTGTGCACATAAATCACATTGTACAGGCATTTATAGGTATAATATTATAATATATAATACGTTTACGCCGTAGTAGTAATTTTTCCGGGAAGTATTCCATTCATGCGTACATAATATCCAACACGCGCGATATGATATAATAATATTATAATACCAGATGGACTTATTTTCGTATAATATACGACGACGTATGTACACGCGTAAACGATGCGCGCAATTTATCATAATAATATCGTGTATACGCGATGCACCGCCACCGACATCAATACTCAAAACATAATATTATATATTTAAGACTTAAGTACTAGGAAACGGTATGCGTATCCGATCTGTTGACAGTGGCGGATCCAGGATTGGATTTGGGGAGGGGCCTCCTAACAAATTTACTTCAAAGCCATATAGTATCCGAGGTCCTCGGTAAAAAAATTTTTAAATAATTTTTATAACACAAAATCTAATCTACATTTATTTTTAGAGGCAAAATTATTTATAATGATTTCTTTTTTATCATACATATTAAAATCTCTATGTACATTTAGAAGACATAAGCGTGTAACAGTGACACGGTCGACACAAAAATAATATCGTGTTTTTAGTCTAATCTCGAACACAACTGATAACTGATACGCGTTACATAGAATATATAAACAAGAAAAACCAACGATGAACGAAAATAGGTTCTAAAAATAGCAATTTTATCTGTTTTCATTCCACTAACATTCCCAATGGTTTCCAAAATAGATATGTGTAATTAATTATAAATAAAAATGTAATGTGTTACACAATTTAAAATATTTGTGATTTGAGTAAGTAAAAAGAGACTGTTGAAAGAGGTCGGTCTGGGGGGGGGCCTAGGCCCCCCCTGGATCCGCCACTTTCTGCTGAGATATTTTAATACAATATCGGTCGAAAATCGAATATATGCCTATTATGACCTGACGCGCGTCCTGAACGCGACAAGTCTACAGCGGCGGCAGAGTTGTTGAACCTCGCCATATTTACGATTTATATAATATTACTATTATACATACGCGCTTTATGGACGTGAGTGTGTAGCGTGTAATATATTATGTAATATGTAAAGTATATATAGTTTTACAACCGGACGATGATAGCATACCTTCCTACCATATATTATATTATTATAGCGAGTGTATAATATAATATATTATTTATATATATATATATATATATATCATTACCCATACGGCCATACATAATGTAATATAATATAATTTACTGTAATTGTAATTATAACATTCCCGTGGAAAAGCTTGTGTGTGTGTGTGTGTGTTATAAACACATTATTATTATTATTATATCTATATAGGATGCATTTCTTTGCGTTGACCGTTGTAATTAAAAACCTGTAAAGGTTTCAAAATTGATTTTTAATCCTTCACGTTTTATTGCAGTGCACTATATACAAATGCACTGGCATTATTATTGCGTTGGACACTACCCTGGATCGATATACTATACGTTCTAATAGTATAAACACTGATGCGTAAAAAGAAATATACATTTTTATTCACAATACATAGATAGTACATAATATCTACAGCTAGACATATTATAATATGGTGGTAGGTATGATTTGTTAGAGTTTCTATAAATAAAATATAATTATCATTGCGTACATCTATGTACAATTAGGATGCTTTATAACTATCTCGATCAAAGGTATAATCCACACCTTCTTCGGTGTTGGTGTCGATGTCGTAACACCACGACGATGACCCTGGACTCGAGTCGACCATTTCCTGTTTAACCCGCGGCGATTCGTGCTCGACGGCAGGTTGTTGGTTGGTTTGGTGCTGCACTTGCTGAGAAGACGACACAGCCGCGTAAACGAGCGGGTGTCTACCGCCAGACGCCTGCTGCTGTTGATGGGGCGCTGGAAAGCTCTTGCGATTGGGGGTCGCCACAGTAAACGTGGGCATACCCGGGGGATTATTTTGCACTTCATCGAACTTGATCCGGGACACGAGCTGCAGGATGCCGATCTTGAAGTTGATCTTTTGCTTTTCGTTCATCGACTTGATGGTGGGCAACAGCGACACCATGAACGACAAATCGCCGTCCAGCTGGCACAGCGCGTCTGCGGCCGTCTTGCCCGCAAATTTGTTGAGCAAGTCGACGTGCTGCTGTACATCCGGTTGAAGTGTTTCCGGTATTTTGGGCGCGGTTTCCGAGGGTGGTGCTGCCGCCATCGAGAGTGCGTTCCGCGAACCTTCGCCGTGCTGTGTGTTTTTACGCATTTTCTTGCTCCCCGGTTTGCCGGCACCGTCTTCGACCGATCGACCACCGCCACCGGTTTTCGTGTCTTGGATGAACGGTATCAGAAATTGCAGGTGATCGAACAGATAGTACTTTTTCCGGTGCTCGGGCAAGCGCAGGGACTTTCTCGGTTTATTGCCCTTGACGTCCTTGACGAACGAGTCTTTGATGTTTGTCCACTTTTTCTTGACATCAGTCACTGTGCGGAAAAATCGAACGATATTATCAGTAAAAAGTTAAGGATGGTAAACGTTAAAAGAACAATAACAATACAAGGACATTATTTAATATTAATTATTTTTTGTTTACCTCTTTCACGTTTATCGAAACCGCTGAGTGAGTTCCAATCTGAGTAAAGATTTCCGGCGATCTCCATCCACATGTTGGTCAGTACTTCCTTGTTCAGATGGTTCACGTCAGCCGTGTCCCATATGCACGACCGCTTGCGTATCTCGTTTATGAGTTTTTCCGTGAAATATACCATATTAAAGTCGTTCGACCTGTGGTTATATAGGTGGCGGCCGGTTTCTTATGGCCAATAATACTTTTTACCGGCAGTCGTATATCGTGGTATTATAGAATACTTAAGCTCGGTGACGTTTGTGCGTACGACCACCGCAGTGAAGTAAATATTAATGATGACGCCGACGATGATGATGATAATAACAATATAATGACAAGCAAAGCCGGTGGCAGTAAACGTGTGTGTGCTCGTGCTCGTGTACGACCGTTGACTGCGGTCTAAACGGCGGTCGGCCGTCGCCGCGCGGTACGAACGGATCGAAAACGGTGACGTGCGGGCCGCCGGTATCCGCCGGACGGGCGCCCACCTTTCGATAAAATATTGTAACAACAACAACAAAAACAACAATAATAACAATACCGACTACGCTGGTGACGCTCGGGAGGGTCTGAGGTCTGACATTCGGTCGGCGGGTGAGGAAGAGGAAATGACGTGCCGATGCGGTGGCGGACGGTTCCGGCCGGTCGTGCGGCTTGGCGGGGGCAGTGGAAAACGCGCGAGGCGGCCGGTTTGACCGGGTCGCTACGGCGGATGCCCGCTTTAAAAACATCCGCCCGGTCGATTCGTCGGTCCTCCGCCGTCTCCGTCAGTGATGCGCGCTCCTCTCTGCCAGTGGTGCCTAAAGTACGCGCGGCACCCACGGCGCGGCCCGGACCGGACGGCTTTGCCAACCCATGGCGACACGGCTGTCCGCGCCTGTTCTACCCGCGACCGGCTACCGCAAGCACGGCAAACGATGACACGCGATCACGGGACGTATGGGTAGTGCGTATACAATATAAATGCTGTCGATTTTCTTTCAACCGAGCCGCTTTTGCGTTTCACGATCGATAAGCTCGAGCTTATTCTATAATATTCTATTACACAGTGCTTAATATGATACATATAAATATTTCACAGTGGGAGTGTGTAAAATTTGTCATCGCCTCCCAACGAAAAACCAAACTGCCACACTGTACAGTTATCGTTCTTACTTTTTAAAGTTGACGACGTCATATCAATATGACGGTGATGTAGGGTTTGTATTCCATGGAACCCTCCAAGTGTCTACTATATTTAACAGTAATTTAATGCACATCTCTTTATCTATTTAAAATCTCAACACGCCAGATAAGTTATATCATTATGATAACAGGTACGCACAAGTGTTGGGAAATTTGTATTACTCCTGCCACAGACTTCTATACTACAATATATAATACTATAATATATAGAAATCTGTGACTCCTGCACATGCAGATTATTGCAAAAGGTCGAAATTCGGCATGATAATGAGTTATATCTAAATGATTTTAGTCGGATTATGCACCGCCCTCTATGTTATCCGCCCCCTCCTCCACACGTGTGAAATAAAGTAAAAACACTACACGTCCGATTGCCGCAATGTAATATAATATTATACATGCACATTATTATACTTATTATATTAATATATTTATGTATAAGTATTCCTGGAATATTCGCTATTAGACCGGTTGTTACGGGTAATTTGGTGATCGAGTATGTAGTATGTATATTATATAGGTACAACGGATTTATAATATTATTATCGCATAATATATTATTGTAATATACCTACTTTGTCCGTCGTGCCGTTTTACGTAGTTTGCAAAATAATCGCGAGGCTACTCGAATTAAATTATTCGAAGACGTAAACAAATAAATAAAATAAAATGGGTTTATTGAAAAATATTTGGTAACTTAAAGGAAACATATCCCAAACCTTTATGACATCAACTCCCTCCAACCCCACCAGTCATCCACCGCTCTGTCGTCCTTGTATATACTATGGCCACTGTACGTCGCCGCTTATAGTTTTCATATTGTTTATTAGGTACCTACCAATCCGAAGTATACTCACACACGTATTAAAGAAATTCGATATTTAAACAGGATTAAAATTATATATATAGTTCCCGTCGTGGTTGGAAACACGCGGCGGTGCGGTCCATTACCTTCCATCGCGGCCCTCGTACTATATTTATACCTCTTAATCTCTACACCCGCAGACACGTAGGTACCTTTGTGTATAATTCCTCACGAGTTTGACTATATTTTTCTCCACAAACCTGCCTGCAAAGTCGTCACCACAAACTTTATAATAATAAATATTTGAATCCCGCCAACTACACCTGATCTACTGACTACTATAACCTAACAGTTCAAACGTATTTCATCCCCAATAATCAGTTTTATTTTTAAAAAAGTCATTATCTCTTCTATACCATATAACATTATAATCACTCAAATATTTTGAATCTAAATGTATGAATAAAGTTTAGAATATATTTTTCCTTTGTCTCATTGCAAAAACAACAAAGGTCCCATATCCTACATAATATATAATATCATCACTCTCCCATGGTATCATGACGTATACTCTGCCGTTCATTGTAATTTTCTTAACGAACCGTCCAAAGTCTGGATGCGTTTTTATCTTCTTCTATCTAATATAATTTATTTTTATAATAATATAAAGCCGCTGCTTCAGGTACGCGAGTATTGGATTTTTCGTATTAGGTATATACATTAATACATTATACGCGGCACATTCTTCGATATTATACGACGATCGCGACAAAGACGAAGATAATATTAAAATGTATGTGTGTGTGTGTGCAAAACACGATTTAGGAATATATTTGTAACTTCCTGCGTGGCAAGACGACGAGGGGGATATTTGCGAGGCGCTTGGCATAGGCAAACCCGCAACGTGCCAGCGTTTAGTGTCGCCCAGACGGCGGTAGCATGATATTGTAATATTTTTATTTATCGCCGTCTTTTACCCGTTACAATAATAATAATAATGAAAATAATATTGTCCGGACGAGTGGGAAGAATCGCCTCTGTAAGCTACTAAGCTGCAGCACATTATTACAATATCATTATATACGCCGCCTTTGCGCACCCTGTCCCCGTCCTCGAGACTGCTGCCGCCGCCGCCGCAAATGTGTCGTCGTCGACGGCTCCGGGTCGAATCGTGCGACCATTGTCACCTGAGCTCGCAGCAATAGCGACGAACGACTTACGATATATTATTATTATTGTTGTTGTTATTGTTGTAACGCATATGAGAGTGTGTGGGTATACCCGGGGGCAGTGTCGGAGGGGAAGAAAACGTAAAGAAACGGAAAAGAAATATAAATAACTTCGATATTATACATAATAATATATATTACAATATACAAGTATAGGTTTATGTATATAAAATCGTAGAGAATAGAAACGACGGTCGGCGCACGACGACGGTGGCAAGAGGAATAATATAATATACAGGATATAGACCCACGGGTGGGGGGAGGGGAATTCGCCTGCTATGTTTGTATATACTTATTCTATTCTCTCATTTAAATAATACATACTATAGAGGTATATACATAATAATTCCGTATACATAAAAGAGCACGCGACGACGAGGACGACGACGACACCTCTCAACTACCGCGTCGGGGAAGGTATTTTTTTAACCGTTCGTGAAATTCAAATAACGGCTAGCCCTCCTCGCCCGGCTCGACAACTGCACCAGCTATTATCACGTTCTGACCCGCGACGCCGCATTTATAATGTGCTGTGCGCTCCGACTATATAATAATATTATTTATAATATATATATATATTATATACATTTAGTTTTGTGTGTTTTTTACCGTATATATTACTGTAAGACGCTTACCTACTAGGCTCGCAGTATAATAATATAATATTGTATTTTCTCATTGCTGAGATAGTATAATAATATAATATTATATAGGTACACGCGCGAGGAATTTCGATTCGTTTTTCTCCGCTCCTTCACCTGTGTACACTCTTATTCAACCTCTCGACCGGAACGTCACACCGACGACTTTACGCGAATATCATACACATTATACACACACACACACAAACACACACATAAATAGGTTTACGATATAATAAATTCACCATGAGCCGTGTGACCCGCTCGTCGTGGTGCAGGAGGGTACCCCACCCTATTATTATAATAGGTACCCCCACCTATTATAATAATAATATATACACCGTGGTATACGAAAGTTAAAATTCTGTAAAATATTCGGTTCGAGAGCCGCGACATGTCGCATTCCTCCCCTTCCGCGGTATAATATTATAATAATATGCGTATAAATACCATATAATATATTATTAAGATGTACAGCCCTTTAAAACAGTAATATATATATTATACTGTATTATATTATTCGCTGTCACCACGATATGTACACGTTGCAGCCAGTGCCCGAATAGAAATGTTATATTATTCGTTCAAGCGCGGCACGAACGACTGGCGTATAATATTATCTTTAATATCACGCTTGTCTTTTACATAGGTATTATAATAGTATAATATACAGTGGGATCACGATTTCAGGTAACATGCCGGATGAACTTGTGTTGAAATTGGTTTATGGAGGAGCCTAAAGAGGAGGTACACATTTTGTGGACATTTCAAAATGTTAACACTTTAATCGCGCTCTTAGACGTTTTGTATTTCCCCAAATAGTAACACCTATTTTTAACACACGATTTGGTTTGACTGATTTTTTTTAATCCGATTTGACTCATAACACTTTGTTTTAAATTTAAAATTGACTGAATATGACATTCATCACTCAAATTAAAAAAAAACCCTATTCAAACCCTTCACTTCCTTTATAGACCAACTGCAGTGGTTTTAAATTGTATAATTAATTTTTGGACATTGAATTGTGTCGTATATAAAAATATTTAATATTTGAATATTCTTATATATGGTATAATAGCATATAAACGCATATTATATAAATATCATCGTATAAATAGCCGGCATTGTGTGGTAGGTATATACGAAAATTGGTCGCCTTCGAAAGTGTGTTTGATTAGCTCTTGAACCGCGTAGTGATGATGTCTGGTATACATAAGAGCACTGCTGCTATATGTATAATATAGTATATACTGCACTGCTGCATGCAGTCCTCTTTATATAATATAATCCAAGACCGTCTCGCTGATGATTCGTAAAAATATCCTGTGCAAACACAAACTTCCTGTATATATATATATACGTATTACAATCCTTAATATTATTATATTGTATATACTATTATAACAATATTATATAACACACACACACTCTCGCCGGGTGAGTATATACTCGCGTTATTACGTTACACACATATATATATATATGCATGACGTGGTGGCTGCGGTGCGGCGCTAATCTGTCAGTGGACTTGACGTTTATTAGACGTGTTACATTTTTGTTTTATTGTTACGAGCCGTTTCGAATCGTCCTAATCGAGTGTGTTTGCCCCACGAGTGCGGCATGTAATTCCCCGTGTACTGCAATGTGTGTGTGTGTGTGTGTGTGTGTGTGTGTATACTATATAGTGTCGGCAACACACCTCGCACATATATATATACACATCACCGCAATGACGGCAACGCGAACGGGTTTGGATAATTAGCAGAAATGAAGAGAAGAGAGTAAAACCGCGTGCGCAAAGTACCGCGGCTGCTGAAAAACGATATAATAAATTAAAATACGACCGATGAAACGGATTTGTTTTGTTGGTCGACGATTACGATATTATGTTATATTATTTTTAAAAAACCGACAACAACTACTACACACGGTACGCATATGGGTTTGTACTCTACCACGTTTTTTAAATTTTTTTTCGCCTCCGCCGCTCCTATATAGGTACGATCCATCGCGCACCTGATTTGCGTTCCAAAGTCAAAGTGGCCCATATTTTGTGTAGCTTTTTACCGAGTTATCTGCTGTATTTTTAATTTTAAATTGTAATATTTTACTGTATCATAATACTACAATAATCGCATTAAAATAAATTAAAAGGTCAATTATTCACTCTATAATGGTAAATAGCTAATAACACAAAATTATTGGTTCTACTTTACGCACATTTTCCAAGTCATTTATAATATGCCTTTACGTTTGTATAAGACAGAAACAATACCATCATATTTGCGGGAGTGGCGTCCTCTTAATGTACGCGTGTGTGCGTTTATTTATATTATATTATATGACATTCATCATCTCGCGTATATCTCTGACATTGTTCGATCGGAACACACACACACACATGCATTTATATAATATATTATATATATGTATATATATATTATGTATATAACTGCAACGAACCATTATAATAATATATACTAGTACGACGCTCAAAGAATGTATATAATATATTGGTACACTATTATAGTTAATTACTACAAGCGCGCACTGCTATTATATATTATAAATATTATATTGTATTATTATAATGTAGGTACCGAACATCATACTCCGCGGTGTTAAGTTCGCCTACGTACTGGACGATGCTGATGACGATGATATGATAGTAATAATAATAATAATAATATTATTATTAGGCTAGATATATAGCGTGTGATGTATATAATAGCAGGTACTATATTATTACTGTATATTATTCTTTATCGGATGTAAATTATAATCTTCTCTGCGCTGCGCCGGCTCGTGAGAGACAAACCGCGAACAGCTATAGCGAACGTCATCGCCTCTGTAGTATACGTGTGTATCGTACGCGATCTCTGGGAAGATAGACGAAGAGTCGACGTTCAAATTTCGAATGTCTAATATTGTATAAAATATAAGGTGCATGGTACTTACTACAAATATACACTTGGAACTCGGTCATTGATACACGTATTATACCGACCCGGTCATTAAAAAAAACTATTGGCGTTTTTGAAAATATCTTTTTTACATAATTCTTAGTATTTAAAAACAACTTTTTTTTACTATTTTTATAGTAATTATTTTTTTTTTAATTTCTTTAACGTCAACAAGCATTTTAAATTCTTTAGCCATTAGAAAATTATTTCTAAACCATTTCTGCAGGACACTTTTTGACGTCCGTGAAGTTGGCACCCCCACATTGAGATATCGACTTCAAACCAGTGACAATATTTTGCAACTGATTTGCAACAATTTGCAACACCGGTTTTGAAATTTGCAACTTCGCCCATTCTCCGGGAAATCCGATTTCCCGATGGGGGCGCCAACTTCACGCAGCACCCCCACTTTGAGATATCGACTTCAAACCAGTGCCAATATTTTGCAACTGATTTGCAACAATTTGCAACACCGGTTTTGAAATTTGCAACTTCGCCCATTCTCCGGGAAATCCGATTTCCCGATGGGGGCGCCAACTTCACGCAGCACCCCCACTTTGAGATATCGACTTCAAACCAGTGCCAATATTTTGCAACTGATTTGCAACAATTTGCAACACTGGTTTTGAAATTTGCAACTTCGCCCATTCTCCGGGAAATCCGATTTCCCGATGGGGGCGCCAACTTCACGCAGCACCCCCACTTTGAGATATCGACTTCAAACCAGTGCCAATATTTTGCAACTGATTTGCAACAATTTGCAACACCGGTTTCGAAATTTGCAACTTCCCCCATTCTCCGGAAAACTCGATTTCCCGATGGTACTACTATCAATTATCACGGCCATTTTTTTAAAATTATTTTTTTATTTATTAACGTTATAAATTATTAATAAATAACACCTAATTCAAAAATAATTTATAATAGGTACTTATTTAGGTATAAAATATAATATAATTCATAAAAGTTATAAAAAAAAATTAATAGCTCTGAGGGATTTAAATTATAATTATAAATTTAATTATAACTTTTCGAATTCCGTTTATTATTATTTAGTACTTATAGGTACACAATTAAATTTTTTAAGTTTTTAGAAAAAAATATATGATTTTTAACATATTATGGTACATTGACAAGTTTTATAATCTTTAAAGTATTATAATTATAAATAACTATTTAACAAATGTGACTTGATTTTAATAATTAACCTAGGTACTGTATTATTAATAAATAATAGAATAAAAATTACTTATATCAATATAGACAATAAAAAAATAATTCGCAATATTCTGGATCTATACATCATATAGCTATAGATCCGTTAATTGTGCACTATTGGATAACACATCAGCTTGTAATATACAAAGATTTAAGAAAATCTTATTGCAAAGTATCAATTGATGCTACTGGAGGCCTAGTGAAGAAACTTAAACGTTCTTCACTGAATTTATTATCTTCACATATATTTTTATATGAAGCTGTAGTCAATACGCACTATGGGCAAATTCCAATAACGCAAATGGTTTCGGAAAAACTAAATACAATCACTATATTTAATTGGCTCGGTGAATGGATAAATTCAGGTATTCGAATACCTAATGAGGCAGTTTGTGATTTTTCGTATGCACTATTAGGCGCAATAACGCGAGCATTTTGTGAAGGAAAAAGTTTAAAATCATATGTAGAAACTTGTTTTGATATACTCATTGGTAAATCCCATAAAATGCCCACGTGTTATGTTCGAATTGATGTTGCACATATTATTAAGATTTTTTGTCGTATTAAACATTTAACACAAGTAAAAAACAAACATTTAAAACATTTTTATGTTAGAGGATTAAGGTTACTTGTAACATCAACTGAGTTAAATGAGTTTGAAGAAGATTTAACTGCATTGCTAACAGTTATGTATTGTGAGACTGATGGATTTTCTGAAAACAATGAAATTACACCATCTGAAGAAAGCAGACAATTTATTTTAAAAAAAATTAAAGGCAATGACATTGATAGTACCCAAGAATGTATTGATACAAATCTCAGATTAGAAACGGAGAACGATTGTGAAGATAGTGAAATATCAGATAGCTTAAAAGAGTACCTTGATAATATTGAAAGTATAAGCCGTAATAATTCTAAGGTCAAGGGTGATAGAATTTCTGCATATTTTTTGCCAGATCTTGCCAAAGATGTTTTAAGAATTTGTAAGCACTTTCCTCTGTGGACTTGTCTTATGCAAAGTAAGTTTAAATCACCTTATTCGATTGGTTCTTCAGCACCAGTTGAAAGCGATTTTTCTGAATTAAAGAATCAAATTCTACGAAATGATGTAAAACCTATGTCTATCGACCGATTTGTAATTAAACATCTACAATCTATTAATAGCAATACAAAATTATTTAGATCATCTCAGTTACGGAACGATGTATCCATAGAATCAAATGATGTGAATAGTATATCAAGTAGTGATAATGAATCATGTAAAAATTATTGTATAGCGGAGAACTACTCTGAAATGGACAAGATTAAGGATAATTCTTTAAATAATTTATCTCAAGATGATGGTATTGGCAGCACTAAGGCACTTAAAAAAAAACTAATTTATCTGATTCTTATATTTCAAACAGTAGTGATTCTGATGTTTCAAATAAAACAAATGATACCTATGATGAAATCGAAAACTGGAGAGGAAAAGGTAACGATGGCGATATGACACCCAAATTAAAAGAAAAGCCCACTAAAAAAATTAGGTTAACAACATACATGGAACCTATGCCAGAAATAGAAAGAGTATTAAAGAGAAAAAACACGAGGTCCAATTTAAACACAATGTTAAAAAATGGAAATATATGTACACCAGTTAATATATCAAAAATTAAGTACATGGTCCACAATACATGTCCATTCGATTCTATTAGTAGTGCTATAGCTATGGCGTATATTGATTATTCAACATACAGAGAATTTATCGATAACAGTAGTAATATATTTTTTAAGTTTTGTAAAGATCTTGCACTAAATGGTTCATCAAAAAAAATTTACACAGAACGTGTAAATTTCATTAAAAATATATTCAGTGCAGATGAAGGAATAACGCATGTTAGACTTATTGATGCAAAATGTAACATATCATATATTATAACTTCGTTATTAAAGAATGCTCCATCCGCAGTCGAAGATATGAACTGTAATAATCAAAATTGCCAGAATTCAAATAGACAAGCACCATGTCCAACCATAATTTTAAGATTTCAACAAGATTTGTCTGGAATAGAAGATTTACTTAACATATATACGCAGGTTAAAGAGTATGATTGTACAGAATGTGATAATGGAATGTTGAAAACTAAAAGAAACCTTCAAAGCCATTTATTCATTGAAACGGATGTATTTGAGGATGATCGCCAATTTAACATCAACGAAATCCCTAAGAATTTAAATACGAATAATAAAAGGTATGTAATATTATTGTATACATTAGGTAAATAATATTTTTGTGTACATTTAAAAAATAAAATTTTAAGTACAAAAAAATATAAATATATCAATGTTATATAAATGTTTATAAATAATACAATTTATGTATATATATATACATATATGTATTATATAGTTTAATTAATATAAAGTGCTTTTTCTAATGTTCAATTCTCTCTCCTTCAATTTTTTTTCTTTGCAAACATATTATTTTATCTTTTTAAAAGTTTAATTTCATGGTTACTGTAGAATAAATCTTTCAATTCTTGTGGATAAGCATCATGTTCAGGGACATTTGTTTATAGTGACAGAAAGTGTTTGCAAATGTACCCTTTTCTTTTTTTAAAAAAGATGCAAATTTATATTGATATTTTACTGTAATACCAGAACCTACCTATATCACCGATATTTAGATATCTCATTAGAAGTATATTCTGTTTTGTTCTTTCTGTGGTTGATTTATTTTCATGATACTCTTCGAGTTTTAATTCATTCTTTAGTCTGCTTTTTTAATTTTTAAATAAATCTTTTTTGATATTTTAATTATTTTAGTAACGCATGCTCATAATCTAATACCTCTTTCTATCCATCTTATAATTTACAAAATAACTCTTAAATTGGTATTATAATATAAATATTTGACAAATTAATTTTTAAAAATTGTTTGTATTGACAGATATAACATACATTTATAAATTTATCACTTTAAGATAAAATGCTAATTAATTGGTGTCAATTATTTTCAGTTTTATACTATATGGTATAGTGACCTGGGGATTTGACCATTATGTAGTGCATATTAGGAGAAGTGAAAATAATTGGGAAACTCATAACGACATCCAATCAAAAATTAGAAGATTTAGCCAAACCCAGAACACAAAATTAAATGCACATCTACTAATATATATTCAAGTCGATTAAATAGTGTATATATCTTAATATTGTAAAATAGTTGAAAGTTAATTAAATTTGTTAACTGTAAAGTAAGAGATAGAAGTTCCTATGTAATTTGTTCATTAGTAAAAGAAAACATTTCTTTTAAATTTGTCTTTTATATTTTTAAAATTTTATTTATCATACATGTATTTGATTAAATTAAAGTGAAGTTGTTTTTAAGTGTAAAACATAATTAATTTTAATAAAGGAAAATTGTTTGAAATATTGTAAATTACTCCATGGTAAATGGACAATAGGATATTCATTATGGTGGAAATCAGATATAAATTAATTTTACATAGAGGAATCTATGTTCTGAATGAATTGAAAATATTGGTGTTTGTCTGGGAAGTTGATTTAGTATGAATTTAAAAGGATATCATTTTTCAAAAATAAAGAGTTGAACCTACTTTATGGGTTGAAAATGATAGCATTAAGTAAGAATGCATCATAATGTTTAATACAATTAGCAGAAAACTAATGTTTTATATTTAATTAATTTTATAATATTGTCACTGGATTTAAGTCAAAAAATCAAGTGGTGGTTATACGTGATATGCCAAATATTAGTTATATTTATGAGTTATTATTGTTCGTAATATTTTAATTAATTGATTTTATTTTACCTTTATATTAATTAATTTTATTATTTTTATTAATCGTATTTATTAATCAATATTTTGAATAATAAATTCTTATAATATACATAGTTTTTATTAATTTTTGTAAGAAATAATTTATTTATAATTTTTAAGAAAAATAACTCAAAATGTAATTTATAATATTGATTAATAAATACTATAAAAATTAAAATTAAATAAAAAATGTTAACCAAAATGTCAATTTAATATTTATTAATCAATATTATAAATTAAATTTGAGTTATTTTTCTTAAAAATTATAAATAAATTATTTCTTACAAAAAATAATGCAATTTTTTATAATAATGACTAATAATTAATATATATAATTTAAAAAAATTGCGCAGTAATAACCAAGGCTCGATCTTTTAAGTAATTTTAGCACCAAATCAAATACACAGGTCATATTTTTTTTATTGTCTATATTGATATAAGTAATTTTTATTCTATTATTTATTAATAATACAGTACCTAGGTTAATTATTAAAATCAAGTCACATTTGTTAAATAGTTATTTATAATTATAATACTTTAAAGATTATAAAACTTGTCAATGTACCATAATATGTTAAAAATCATATATTTTTTTCTAAAAACTTAAAAAATTTAATTGTGTACCTATAAGTACTAAATAATAATAAACGGAATTCGAAAAGTTATAATTAAATTTATAATTATAATTTAAATCCCTCAGAGCTATTAATTTTTTTTTATAACTTTTATGAATTATATTATATTTTATACCTAAATAAGTACCTATTATAAATTATTTTTGAATTAGGTGTTATTTATTAATAATTTATAACGTTAATAAATAAAAAAATAATTTTAAAAAAATGGCCGTGATAATTGATAGTAGTACCATCGGGAAATCGAGTTTTCCGGAGAATGGGGGAAGTTGCAAATTTCGAAACCGGTGTTGCAAATTGTTGCAAATCAGTTGCAAAATATTGGCACTGGTTTGAAGTCGATATCTCAAAGTGGGGGTGCTGCGTGAAGTTGGCGCCCCCATCGGGAAATCGGATTTCCCGGAGAATGGGCGAAGTTGCAAATTTCAAAACCAGTGTTGCAAATTGTTGCAAATCAGTTGCAAAATATTGGCACTGGTTTGAAGTCGATATCTCAAAGTGGGGGTGCTGCGTGAAGTTGGCGCCCCCATCGGGAAATCGGATTTCCCGGAGAATGGGCGAAGTTGCAAATTTCAAAACCGGTGTTGCAAATTGTTGCAAATCAGTTGCAAAATATTGGCACTGGTTTGAAGTCGATATCTCAATGTGGGGGTGCCAACTTCACGGACGTCACTTTTTGTAGTACTTTTATGTAATTAAATCGAATTTTACACGAGTAGTTATCGTCGTGATCTATAACTATAATATTATTTTAAGTTTAGATGAACGTATAGTGGAGTGGCACAGGCAGGGGTACCTTGCTTAATGTTAGTTCACTATACACTCCTCGTATAAACTTTTTCAAACACATATTATAATAGACTACTAATGTCCAAAATGTGTATACATATTTTTATAGTCCTATATTTGTGTAGTTTAGTACACTACGACGCTATTATACGTATACCTACATAATATGTAATATTATATAAATAATTTTTGGTGATTGACCAAACCACGATACATACCTGCTGTATTGTATGTCTTAATGTACCGGGTTTACTATCTGTACCTATATGGCTATATGGTATCTATACTGCATTCGATTTTTATCTTTAACAAGGAATTCTTTTAAATTGTTCAAATTTAATTTTTTTATGTATTTTTTAACGATTATTTTAGTGCATTAAATCCACAGCCCTTATTTGGTATGTCTTACGATATATTCGTGATGCTCTCGGGACTCTGATAGAGGTATACATACATCACATTCATGTCTCGTTTTCTTATTTTTTTTACCGCGAGCGCCGATCGCGACAAAATAACCTTATATCAGTGGCCAAACATTTATAACTATTACAGGCTATATAGCTGACGACCGCACGGGGTCGCCGATTGTTTTAGTACATGTGTAGTGAAATAATATAATATAAGCTTTGTCGTCTTCGGACACACATAATATATATATAATAATATAGTTAATAAAAACCATTCCAAGATTGGCCATAAACCGCCGTGGTAATAATAAAATATGTCTTTGAGGCCGCGACCAATCGATTACAACGGCGCGACGGCGGCGAATTGTTTAATGCTTACTCGTCTCGCTCACTCGATCGCCGCGGTTGTCCAATACGCCTTCGGCTCATTACAGAATTATGATAATTATTCTTATTATTGTTTTTGTTTTCAAACGGAACAAGTACTCTGCAAAGGTACACTGCACATACCTATAACAATAATATATTATTTACAATCGCATTGCGCATATATTATAATATATAATATATAACAATACTTTCGAAACCATAACCCATAATCGATGTCAGTAGGAATATGATGTAATATGCGTTCGCAATTATAATTTTTTTTCTCCGTTTTCTCGATTGTTAGTTGTCCGGCTAATATGCTTTTTTTACATATATATAAAAGTGCGGTCGGAAAACGACATCCGTGTATAATTTATATAAAATAACTCGGTAAAGAAAAACACATATATTATATATCATCACGCGGCGGCGGCGACATCGACGACGACCAATACGACGGAGCTG